CCTGAACTAAGTCGATTTTTGAAAAGACAATTGTACCTTTCAAGGTAGCTGTCAAATCGTGAATATGAGGCAGCGGGTAACGATCGGGAATAGTTTTAGCATTCAGACGCCGATAATCACCAGTTGGCCGCCAATCGTCGCTGTCCTTTTTAGGCACCATGTGTAATGGGGATGACCATGGACTATTTGATGGTCGAATTATCCCTAAGTCTATCATATGGTCGAATTCGTTTTTGGCTAACCTAAGCTTTTCGGGAGCGAGTCGTTGGGCTTTCGAGAATACAGGTGGTCCTGTGGTCGAGAAGTGGTGTGTAACATTGCTGGTTACACAAGGCAATTTCGATTGCGATTGGTATATCCCGGGGTATTTGTCGAGTACTGATTGGTACAAGGGGTCTATGGTGTGCTTAATCGTGACTGGGGATAACCTGCAACCAGAACAAGGAGTTACACAAACAGATAACTTAGTGTTTCCGTCTATTAACCTTCGTGAGCGTGTGTCGATGAGTAGATTGTGATATTGTAACAGGTCTATACCGATGATTGGCATAGAGACATCTGCAACCACGAAAATCCAGTGTATGGGTTTGCGTAAACCCACGTTAAGGTAGACGTACCTTTTACCATAAGTAGTGATCGGCTTTCCGTTTGCCGCCTGTAGACTGAAAACAGACTCGCGAAGTCTATCGTTGGGATTTGCTGGAAGAACGCTAACTTCTGCGCCAGTGTCGACGAGGAGGCGAACTTTTATAGTCACATCCGTGACATATAAGAGGCGGCTGTGTTCGCCGGCTACGGTTGCCGTTAACGCGTGCTGGCTGGGAAGTTTCCCGAAATCTTATTCGTGTCAGTCGATTTTGAGGTCGAATAATTGCAGGGCTTCCTGCATTTTCTAGAGGATTTACCGTACTGGTTGTGATACCAGCACCAGTCGGGGTTGTCTGTCTCTCGATCACGATCGCTTACGTGAAACGCTCCTATGTGGGGATTTTGACCGACTACGGTCATTAAGAACTCTAAGATATCGTGTAAGTGTTTGACATAGTTCGGCTATGTCAGTCGATGTCGATTGAGGTTTTTCTTTGACGGAAAAGACCTTGGTGCTAGTGGATTTGGTGATTCCTAGGGTTCGGTCGGCAGATGCAGCCAGTTCGTCTACAGAGTTGATTTGGAACGAGACGAGGACCGCCTGCGCCTGCTTTGGGAGTTTGGATAAGAAAAGTTCTTTGAATAGGCCATCGTCGAAAGTTCGTTGGCCGATAACCTCTCTCATTCTTAGCAACATGTCTGTCGCAGAACCATGTTGCAAGTCGATGTTATGCAGGAGTTGGTCTAACCGTTGTCGGTCGGTTAGGTCTCCACGTTTAAGAATCGAATATTTGAGAGTTTCGTAAGGTTACGAAACATCACTAGTAAACATACTAGGTGTTACGTACCTGTTAAACTCGCGCGGTAACGCCTTAACTACCGCAAGGAATCGTGTGCGCGAGTCCGTGATTCCGTGCATGCAAAAATCGGCTTCTGCGTAGCAGAACCAGGACTCGATATTGTCGGGCCAAAATGGCGTTAACGGAATCGAAACAGGGGGTATAGACTTTAACTTAAAAACCTTGGGTGAGTGTTCCGTCATAGTAATATAGATATCGAAAAATGTCTAAGTAAAATATATCCGAGAAAAAAAATTCGCGAAAAAAGTATATCACAATATATAAAAATCAAATAAAGAATAACAATGAATAATAATATTCCAAAATGGAACAGACTCACAGTATATTGGCTTGGTGTACCAGATCACGTTAGGCTCACCACTGAAGGATACGGCGGATATTCTAGTTTTACAACTAGCAACCAGTAGTATCTTCTATAATCGATCAATCCCGGCAGAGGAAGTCAGAAGTCAGACGAGAAGAGGTGGGAAAGATACATTTGATACGTTACCGATATATCGAGGAACCTTTACTATAAGCTGGCTAATGAACGTAGGAGCTGTGTCCCACGCCGAGTCGAAACGTGATCTGGTGCGGATGCATGACCGAAAGCTTTCAGTTAAACAAGTCCACTTAAACAACGTGGTCAGCATCCAATGTCGAACACTTAGAAAGCTATTGATTTTGGGCAATTATTTACAGCTACATTATAAATAATAGTGAAATATGAAGATGCTTTGATGAGCCGCAGTTGGGTAAATAGCATCGATTAGCGATGACTGGATCTGAATTTACATACATAGTTTTCGCGTTTGTAGTATAAGAATAGTCAAGCCGTGAAACGATGTCGACGGGTTATATTCATTAATGTGATGAGATCGATAGTATTTGTAAAATGCGAAGTCTTTGTACGTTGTCATTCCCGTTATGACGGATGCATCGAGTTATCGTTAAATTTATGTTCGTAGGATGATCAGAGGGACAGGATAGTGACTGGGAGACGAGATAAGCGGAGTCGTATTCGTCTTTGGTCGTTCAGCTCAGAGTGGGTTTTTTGCTTGAAGGAGATGCACTCAACCGTACCACGGCATGATTGTATCCCGGGTAGACTTTAATTTATGTACGACCTTGAGCGACGCTGAAGTGACCTTCGAGGTTGCCGGTGTGTTTGAGTTGCCAACATTGACCTTAACGTCAACCCTTACTCTACAATAAAGAGAAAGGGTTCAAACATTTTAGTTGCTGGTTATAGGAGAGTTTATAAGACCCATCAATAACTTAATTCCCACACGTTGAACACTCAAGTGTGTTAGAGACCTTAAAAAGGCATAAATTAACAGATTGAGTGTAATATTTCAAGTGTTGTCTCATGTAAGTGGGGTTTAGAATCTGAAAAAAAGCATTTGAAATCTCTGGGAAGTGACCGTTACACTCGAAACCCTTGACAGCTGGTGCATTTCATTATGCATTCGTTTTCGATCCATGACTTCTTATCATCCTTAGGTCTTGTTGTTCCAGTGTGTACATACTAGGAGCGATATACTGTTAACGTTATTCTGATAACCATTCCTATATCCAGTGTACATTAACGCACTGTTTCAGAATTAATCTGCTAACCCCAACTTTGGGACCATCTAACTAATTTGTCTAAATCAGCCCGGAGGTCAAGATGATCAGCATCGCTACATATTGTTCTCTAGACTTTGTCATCCGCAAGTAAATTTCGATGGCTAAATTAGTCTTGGTAATTTCTTGACGTGAAGGCGAGAAAACAGGGAACCTGAGATAATACTTTCGTACACGCATTTTTGACCGATTTCTTTCCGTATGTCGTCTCATTTACCCTCACTTCAGGCATTTGGCCGCAGAGGAAGTTCTTGTTCGCTTTTGTACTTAATTTCATCCCAAAACTGAAGAGTTTCTGTGCTAGCCCTTGTCAAATTCTTTGTCATAATCTGACTATCAAAACGACAGGTGAACCGCTATCTTGGGTTCCTGTCCAATCCACTCCCGCAATTATTGAGTTAAACATGACTTATTATTTCGAAACCCATGTTGTTCAAAAGTTAACAGGTAATGTTACTTTTATGACCCGAACTATCTCTTCAAATCCTTTAACTATTAAGCTAGGTAGACTTCCAGAACCGTCGTTGGACACGATTTCCCCTTTCATACCTAAGTAGAAGGCTAACGATAAAATCCTTCCAATCATCATGGAGTTAATTCTGGGGAGGCAGCATGTCGAGTAGCTCTTAAGTGGTTCCAAATCCCAAATACAAGTACACGTAAAAAACCTAACGAAAAGGACTACAAATCGATGACAACATTATCACTAATGGTAGTAGGAGACATGCATATGTTACTAGTGTTTTGTTATGATTTTTTCTGAATATCGCTTAATCGTGGTAAAACTACGATTTATTGATGGCTGAAGGTACTTTGTGTTGCTTTTTTTCTATTTAGGAGTTAGGATCACTCTCTGCAATTATTACATCTGAATGCGTGACTTTTCATACCAGATTAGCTTTGACGAAATACCCTTAAAATGGCGAACAAGTGGTAATAGAAATAATATTTCGAAAATACTGGGAATAAAGGAAAAAGTTGATAATTGAATGAACTCCAATTTTATTATAGGTGTGTTGGTGACAAATTTACTGATTACCTACACCATGAAGGATTATTTATTCAATAAGAACCAGTAGGAGAAATCCAAAATAATCCTGTTCTTTTGGTTTTAACGTTGTAGAAACGAAGAGAAAAAGACGTTTTTTTTAAGAGCACTTCAGTTCTGTAGGTTTTACTTCCTATTCTTGAAACATGCACCTAAAATCCTTAGAGCAAAGAGATTATGCAACTATCAATATTGACCTTTTCGAACTCGTCCTCCTAGATGTGGATCGAAGCCATTACGGTTGTTTATAAAAAGGAGCTTATTGATCTAGTAAGACTTGAGACCTGAGTACAGATGAAAAGATGTAGAAGCAGATGTTTACTCCTTATAATGCACTTTGTATGTAGAACAAATTAGTGAGTCTCTATTCCTATTTCCTTCCCAATTACTTTGGAAAATTCACTTACTGATTCACCGAATAATAAAAGTCTTGATGGTATACGGATACTAAAGTAAATCATGTTTTTTGTTTGAATTCCTCTCATCGTTGTCTCATAACAGTATTTAGTCGTTTCTCAGCAAAGTCGTTTGAGAAAATTATTGGTACGATAAGTAGTCATCTATAAAATTATTTTAGGTTTTACAAATTATCCTAAGGAACACGTTAAATATTTCCATATATTTGATGTTTTTGCAGCGTTAAGATGGAAAAACACTCTTAAGAAGTTCATAGGCTATGCGAAACCACTACTCATTTTAGTTTCATTAATTTTCTGACAAAAGGTTTCTGAATTACGGTAGCTATTTATTCATAAGCTTAAGTCTATCATTAAAGCCTCATGTTCGGCAGCATAGTTTAACAACTTGCATGCTTTTAGTCTGCCTGGTTGAAAGGCTAACATTCCATTCATTTTTCCTGTCTTTTATTTATTTATTAATTTTATCCGTTTTATAGCATCATGAATGCAACTGTTAAAAGACCACTTGGGCTATTGATCTTATTGTTTTGGAGTTACTTTTTCACTTCGCTAGCTCGGAGAGCCATACAGAATATATATCATATAATCCCAGTAGAATATAAAGGAACTAAATCAAATACTCATTTAGGTAAGTCATGTCGTAAATTATTCTTGTTATTACGTAGGTAAGATTTTAATTCAGTTGTATAACTACTTAACTTTTAACCAGTGAATTGTGGGTCATATGTTCTGTGTTATTCTGTATCGTCGTTTTTATTATAAAGTGATTAAAATCCATCATGGTTCCATTAAATCTCTTGTTTCTTCTAACTTAAATTTAGAGCCGCCGTTCATACATTCATAAATAATGCGTTATAAACCCTTTGGATATGATCTCGTGTTTGTATGATAAAATATTAATTACTAAATTTTATAACTTATAAATATCCAATATCTGATTAGTCCGAATAGTATCAACATTTCGTGTATAGTACCTTTAAATTGAGTTGTATATTACTTCCTTAATCTTGTTTCAGGCTCCATAATTACTGCTCAAACATTGGGTTATACAGTTACAAAATTAATTGGTGGGATTCTTATGGATCACTTAAATCCACTTCGAATTTTTATTTACTCTCTGATTTCAGCCTCAGGTTCACTTTTTCTTTTATCGGGTAAGCAAATATTTTTCTCGCTTGACTTGCGCTTATTAAAACACGTCTTTTGACCTCCCATCGTTTCAAAGTCTATTATTTATAAATAAATGAACAGAAACTATGGAAAATCCCTTTTATATTGCATTTCATCATATCAACTTATTTAACAAATATAATTAAATTTATAAAAAGTAGAAATAGATTCTATCATGTTAATGAGTACATCCAATGTTAATTTCTTTAGTTTCATCTCACCAAACAGTTTGGTTAGTATCCTATGGATTGACCGGTTTAGCACTTGGTTCTAGTTGGCCAGCCATATCAAAGACACTTCGTACAGTAAGTTGACACCAAATCTGTAATTCGATTTTTATCATATTTATATATGACAATTTTGGAATTGCTTAGTGCTATGTCCCGATAACAGTAGTGAATGGTAGCTTTGGGGTCTATTTATGGACCAGCATTATGCATATATTTTTTTTATCGTATAATTGCTAAATAACCAAACTATTTATATTCGTGCTCCTACTATTATAATCTTCATTTTGATCTATAGACTATTATTGTACGATTTAGTATATGTACCGCCGAAGCGAGTACAAAACGTCGGCATCTAGCAGACACGGTGCACTGCCTCACCGAACGACGCCCGACGTGGGGCTCGAGCCCACGACCCTGAGATTAAGAGTCTCATGCTCAACCGACTGAGCTAGCCGGGCTCACAAATCAAATGAGATTTGTGAGGCGCATATTTATCTGGTGCTTTTTGCACCAATATTTATGTGTTTAAATAATAATAAAAAATTGTACGATTTACCATTCTTGAGTTATCCCTGGTCCATTAATTGCTGCCTCCCACTTTTGGCTAAATCTTGTACAAATGTTATTTTCTATTTTATGGTACGATGTGGTCAGTCTGTTTGGTATATAAATTCAGTATGTTTGAAATACTCCACCTTTAGCTCTTATAGAGTTACTGCCGGTCCCAAGCTCGGGTAAAGGAGGAGGGTTGGGCATGGGGTTAGCGATCCCATCCCGTAGAAAAGCTAACTCGCTAAAAAAACACTAACCAGAAAAATAATTCAAACCATTTAAACTCTGCCCTGGGAGTTGAAGGAATAATTATGACGCCTCATGACGAAAGCCGAAATTTTTCGGAAGTCACAAGGCCGATACACCTTCTAACAGGCTCAGGACAGAGTTGGATGGAGAATGCTGGTGAGCGGCCTATACTCCTCGACGAGGGGTAATAGGCGAAAGTAAGTAATGTTTGAAATACAAGGATTCATACCACAGGGGCTGTTATTGGTGTTCTTGGCTTAACTGGCTGGGCTAGGCAGAAAGCAGGGCCGATACGTACTCTAGACTGCTCGTGCAGTTTTCGTGTGTCACTGTTCCAATCGATAATTCGCCGCCCTCTGATTGGAGGTCTTGCCACGTTATACATTAACCGGGCATCCACTCGGCCACAAGATATAACACTTAGTCATAATTTCCTGTGAATATTTTTACGGGTGAAAATGAAAACTAGGAAGTCATTTTTATAAGAAGGATTAATTCAACTAATAAGATCCATGTAGAAGAAATGTTCGTTTTCTCGAAGTAATGTTTACATTAAGAGGATATCTTCATACTTACAAACTATGTTCGCCCCCAAATGCCCTGGTACGGCCGAGAGTGGGAAGAGTCCACTCTCTTTCTCTCGAAATGTTCCCACATGGCCACGCGAGTTGGAAAACCCTGATTTCAAACCAATGGTGTACATGGGCTCCAGTATCCTAATGAAACAAATGGCGTATGAATCAATCGTTGGTCACTGGCTACCATGGGACTGCATCTCCTTACGATGCTCCACTGCCTTGTGGATCAGACCTTTAGGTCAAAGGCTCCGGGTGTGGCCCCCTCCTAGGAAAACCACTTTCTTCAGTTTGGGCACCTGTGCAGTATCACAGCCCTCATACAAATCGAATGAGATTTGTGCGGCGCGTATGTATCTGGTGCTTCCTTGTACCAATATCTATGTGTTTAAATAATAATAATAATAATGCAAACTATGTTCTCTTCCTAATTGGTATAAACTATTATTCACATTAAATTTTTAATGGTAAGCGGACATTAATTCGAGCTAGTAGAACAAAGGCTGTAATATATATATATATATATATATATATATATATATATATATATACGAATCATTTTGTGAATGTGCAGTTCCTTTGTTAAATAGTCCAGGGGCTAACCATTAAGTCACAAGTATGAATCATGCCTCATCAATAGGGACGATCGTAGCTAAAGAGGATTACTGTATTTTAACTAATTTATCTTGTGGAGCCGTATGTACTTGACTCTGAGCCATGTTTTACATGACGGCTAGTGATAATACTTCATTTCCTAAAGTGTAGCAGACAGATTGGGATTCAAACTTGAAACTCATTAATTGAAAGCAGAGTGTTTAAATAACCGCTAATGCAAAAAGTGTCACTAGACTTTAGCCACTAGATATCATTTGCGAGATGTTTTCTCACATTATGATTGCCTTCCAGTTAAATTTGTATGTATCTATCTTACTTTTATAATATTTCCTTTTAGTCCCTATCTTTGTTTTTGTGTTATCAGTGAATCTGCTTGGTTTCGTAGCAAACAACACCGATGAAAACAATCTCTTATTTAATAGAAGAGATAAATAGTTGATCATCAGAAACCTGGCATCTTACAGTTATTTAACTTAAAGTATTATCATTTAGGTAAATTCCTAGTTCTAGTTTAAAGTACATATATGATTTCGTTGCTTAAAGTCTGCTTAAATTAATTTTAGTCTGTGGCTTCTCAGGAATTAGCCACTTGGTGGGGATTAATATCATCGTCTTCTAACCTAGCTGGTTGTATGGGTTCTTGGATATCTATTGTTATTTCTTCTTATGCAACGATATTCCTCGGTGATTTGGCATGGAGAGCTCCGTTCATTTTTGTTGGTAAATACATATTTTTAACTGACCAGTGCATTTATTTTATGTTATACTTATCATCAACTGTTACCTTCTATTTAAAAGCAGCTTTTTGACTTTGTATGTCATTGTATTTAGCGCTTAATTAAAAAAACACATACCCTAAAATTTATTACCATTCTTCCTACATGGAAATTAATCTGATTTTAGTTTCAGTCATGCATAATTTGTAATATTTCATATTGTCTTCTGAAACGAGCTCCTAGCCATATTATCATTTTTCCTAAACAACGTTAATAAATAGATAAGTTCAGATATTTTAGGGAATAAAGGATCGTTCAAATTCGTCTACTGATGCGTGGTACAATAGCTAATAATTCGAAAATCACATTGTTAAGTGATTTTCATATCAGTGCCATTAATTAACTGATACAATCATTCGGTGGTTTCGATTTGTATAACACAGTTTTACATAAAATCTAGATTCGTCATTGTTTTCTATTATCATTTAAATCTTCAATATTTTTCCTAGTTGGTGTCGCTCTTAAATGTAGACAAGCTCCGGCATATTAGCTACGTAGTTGTTTCAGCTAATTGTCAAACTTTTTTGATTCCCTCTGATATCTTTTATTTGAATCAACAGATGTGTTAACTTAAACATATTTATAATTGCACTTTTGTAAAAATGAAATTCAAATTTGAAGTGATTTTTTCTATTGATGTAAATTGTGTTTTACACATCCCACGTAACATAGAAATCCTATTGCGGTAAATTCCTAGTTGTTCTCTACATTGCTGTAAAAGGGGGTCGAAATAAGCAGAATAAAGTTTAAACCTTAGTCCCACTGGTTGCGGACTGAGTGGTTTGGTGATTTTTCCACCAGCTAACATAGTAAGACAGTTTTCTTAAAAAAGTTAAATGTATGCAAATTATCACTATTAATTCTATTGTCAGTACTCATAGCCTAGTTAGTCAATGTTATGGAAAATACATGATCTAAGATCTATGACGTCGCCTTACTCTGTGATTTCAATCAGAATTATGATAAAATGTACGGTCACCAGACGTAAAGAATATTTTTTTCCCGACCATTGCTATTACCTTGACGTGGTGGTCGTGCTTATTTATTTATTTAAACACATATATATTGGTACAAAAGGGCACCAGGTACATATGCGCCACACAAAATTATGAAAGTAGGAAGAGAAGGGATGAAAAGATAAGGCGGACTGAAATGTACAACCAGAAGACTCTTTCAGTTAGGAAAGTTAGAACCATTCTTTATATAGAAAGTAAAAAAAGGTTGCAGCAGGATCGCCACTGGCTTCTATTCTGAGCCATATCTGATAACGTCTCTAGCCACTGTGTTGCACCATCTCTCGAACCCCAACCAGGGAGTCGTGAAGGACCAACAGAAGCTAGCCCTTTACAGCTTTCTTTCATGCCACGACACCATGTCATACACTGACCTCCTCTCCGCTTTTTCCAAACAGTCCCAGGGTCGGCAAATAATGCACGACGTGGAAGTCTCTGAGACGACATTCGTAAAACATGTCCAAGCCACCGAAGTCGGTGTTTCAAGATGGTGACACCAATTGAATTATCGTCTCTGCGCCCGAACACACGATGCCGAACCTCTGCATTACTAACATGGTGTTGCCACTGGATGTCAGCAATCCTTCGGAGACAACGATGATCGAACACAGAGAGACGTCTAACATCCTCAACTCGGAGAGGCCAGGTTTCACAAGCATAGAGCAAAACTGCTCTCACCGACGCGTTGTAGATCCGACCTTTTACAGCCAGACCAACATCACGAAGGCGCCAAAGATGGCCCAGATTGGCATAAGCCCCTCTGGCTTTCATTATACGTGCATCAATCTCATCACTCACGCCATCACCAGCACTTATGTAGCTACCTAGATACACGAACTTCTCAACTACTTCAATCTGCTCACCATCCAGGGCGAGTATAGGATGAGAATCCTGCCAGTCTTGTAGAAGTACCTTGCACTTGGAGGGTGCAAAGCACATACCGTACCTGCGGACACTGATTGCCAACTGATTAAGTACGGATTGCATGCCTTGGGCATTATCGCACAGTAAGACAATATGATCCGCATACTCGAGGTCGAGAAGTCGTTCTCCAGGCAACATATCCACACCGCCATTACTTACATCCACCAGAGCTGTTTCCAGGATGTCGTCGATAGCAAAGTTGAAGAGGAATGGTGAGATCGGGCAACCCTGCCTAACCCCACTGCTCGAATGGAACAAGGGAGAAAGGTGGTTATATGCCCTCACTCTGCCTGATGTGTTCGTATACAGGGCCTTTAAGATGTTAATGAACTTCTCAGGCACACCCTTCTTCAATAGACAATCCCAGAGAACAGTCCTGTCCAACGAATCGAAGGCCGCCCTGATATCAAGAAACACTACGATTGTTGACCTGCGATAAGTATGACGGTGTTCTAACATTTGGCGGAGGGTGAAGATGTGATCAATGCATCCTCTACCAGAACGAAAACCAGCCTGCTCCTCGCGAGTCAATCGTTCTCGGGTTTTAAACAACCTACGAAGAATGATAGAAGCCAATAGTTTGGACTCAATACGAAGTAGACTTATCCCCCGATAGTTGTTACAGGAACAACGTGAACCCTTTTTAAAGATAGGGACGACTATTGACTCATTCCATGATGTTGGAACACTTTCTTGCTCCCATACCTTTCCAAACAACGCAGTCAGTTCCTTAGCCAGAAAGTCACCACCATCTTTAAAAAGAGCCGGAGGTAAGTCATCTGGGCCAGGTGATTTATAACGTTTCAAGAGTTGGAGTTCCTTGCGGACTTCCGCCTCGTTTGGTGGATCAGTCGTCACCGTCCATGGGGGGCAGGACAAGCTGGTTGATGTTGCCGGAGCAGCAGGCCAGTTGAACTGCCCTTCGAAGAATTCCGCCCATCGTCCAAGACGTCGAGAGATGTTAGTGATTGGCATCCCGTCATCCTCGTAGATTGTTTCACTCACACCAGACTTCTTGCTGCCAGTGGCTCGGATGAGTTGGAAGAGCTTCCGGCAGTTACCAGATGCAGCTGCTGCTTCCATCTCATTAGCACGCTCCGACCACCAGGCTTCCCGGTCCTTACGCAAGCTTTGCCCGATTTCATTACGTAACAGCCTTCGCTTGTGGTCAAACTCACGGTCACCCGGAGTAGACCGACGGGCTTCCATCAGTTGTAAGGAGCCAGAAGAAACCCAGTGCTTGTAAGCGGGACGTTTCGCGAAGCCGCAAGCGGCTTTACTCGCCATTTTCATGGAGTCGTGAAGATGCAACCAATGCTCATCTATACTTTTCGGTGGGGTGGTAGCTAGCCTAGAGGCTAGCTCCGCTCGATACTTACTTGCAACAGAAGTTGCAGCCAGTTTACTAACATCGATCCGTTGGTGGTGGTCAATCCTTCGGCCACTGAAAAGTAAGGTGAGATTGGCGCAGACCAGGGCATGATCAGACTCCAGATAAGTACTCCAAAAGGAGCGGCAGTCTTGTACACAACCACGCCAGCGGTAGCTGATCGCGATGTGATCAATCTGAGTCCAGGCTTGGGATGCAGAGGGAGGACGCCAGGTGGCACACCGGCGATGACTGTGCCGGAAGTTAGTGCTGGCCAGAAACAGGTTGTGGTCTGTGAACAGTTGCAACAAACGGTCCCCGTTATCTGTCCTGCGACCAACAAGTCCCCATCGGCCACCTAAACGACTCTCTTCTGTGTCTAGACGCCCGACCTGTGCATTCAAGTCTCCAGCTAGTACTACAATATCTGTCGAACGCGCTTTCTGGAGAAGAACTGTTAACTGATGGTAAAACTCATCCTTGATTGCATCCGGGCTGCAATCTGTCCGGGCATAGGCGGAGATGACGAAAAGACACCGTTTCTCACGCCGATTTCTTCTCACTTTGATGGAACTTTCTAATCTAACAGCACATAACCGACTGTTAATGTGGATCCAATCGATTAGTGCTGCCTCAGCCCTAGCGCTTAGTGCGACACCAACGCCAGCAAGACCAGAAGAAGATGCCACAGGGTCCCCGGATAAGCGCACGTGGAACAAGCTTTTCGAGGCGACAGATGGAGAGCGGATTTGTAGTACTTCACTAGAGTCTTGAATACGGGTCCCGGATAGACAACAAACATCAACATTAAGACCTTCCAAAGACATAGCCAGCCTCATCTGTTGTCTGATATGCATTAGTGTGCGAACGTTGAAGGAAGCCAGCTTGAACGGCGTACGTGGTTTCAGAAAGACTGCTTCAGTATTCATAGTCGGTGGAAGCATTCACTTTCAACCAGACAGTGACTGGAGATCGTTTAGATAGGACAGATTTTCCACCATGGGCGAGCTGCTGCATAAGTTGAAAAGTAAGGTTACACAAATTGGGGATAAAAGGGGGTGAGTTAGCGATATGGTGAATAATAATAATAATAAAGGTAATAATAATAATAATGTAAATTGTCTTGCTTTTAGTATGAGCAGAGATATTATCGTCAATAGAGTTCATCATTTCATTTATTTGTGTGTGGGCTGTGATACTGCACAGGTGCCCAAACCGAAGCAGGTGGTTTTCTTAGGGGGCCACACCCCGAGCCTTTGACCAAAAGATCTGATCCACAAGGCAGTGGAGCATCGTGAGGAGATGCAGTCCCATGGTAGCCGTTGACCAATGATAGGTTCTTCCGCCATTCGTTCCATCAGGATACTGGAGCCCATGTACACCATTGATTTGGAATCAGGGTTTTTCAACTCCCCTAGGTAAACTTACCGTGTCCACCAATCCGTTTATAGCGCCGGACATTCGCTTTTCGTCCTCTCACTTTCGTAAACAACACCCCCGCCACGAGAAGGCAGTGAGTAGGACTTCCCTGGCAGAAGCTATATATTCGCTGGCCATGTGAGAGCATTTCGAGAGGGAGAGAAGACTCTCCCCACTCTCGGCCGTACCAGGGCATTTGGGGGCGTGCTTGTCTATCGT